GCGAGAACCGCTACCTCCTGGTCACCACCCACACCTACAATCATCCTCTGCGGGCCAGCGTGCTCGAGCGCCTCTCCACGAGAATATGCTCTTTCCTAACTCGACCAAATTCGGTCATTTGTTTAATGATCGAATTTCGTGACGCATTACGCGCGAGAAAAGTAATGACGCCATGATGGTTCGCTGATACGACACTAGCGCCGCGTTATTAATTATTGGAACTTAAACATTTAAAGCGACAGAGCTATTTTAGAGCGTAATATGTGAATTTTCATGGGTTTGAATAATTATTCGATTAATAAAAATAATGACACTAAAAAATAATAAATCGAAGATATTAATTAATAGAACTTAATAAAGCGCTGTGTGTAAATCTATGTAACTTAAAATGTACCTAAAAAATAATATGTGAATTTTCGTAGATTGAATAATCGAACTATTTAGTGACGCGATATTTATATTATGTAGCTATTAATTATTGAAATTTATATCATTTTAAGGCGTGAATTTTCATGTATTTTAATTGAACGGTTTTTATGGTATATTTCTATTTTCGATCAGTATTTCGATATTTTAATGTTCTTTTTTTATATTTCTAGATATTTTTAGCTCTCATTTCTTTCTATGCAATTTTAAATATACTTTTTACTTTTACGTTACAATTAGATGAAAAGTACATTGAAAGTAATTTGTCATATTTTTGATATTTACCATTACTTTTCTTTCGTCTACCACTACAATTCGATACTTCGATTGATTCTAAAATTGCGATTACTTTACGATTACCAACATCATCATTTCAAAATTTACCTGAATTTTATACTGAATTTCTGATTCACGTTTTACAATGGAAAACACATTTCATCGCGCTTACGTGGGAAGAGGATATGTACAAAGCTGCGATGGGAGGATTAAAGAACGCATCGCAGGGGTGATGTTTAACAAGATCATCTGGCGCATCGCACGCATCTCCAAGGGGGTCTTAAAACCTTTAACGATATCACTCGTCAATCACGGTGATGAGTGATCGATGCCCCGCAAAGGAGAAGGAAGGAAGGAAGGAAGGAGTTGGACGGCGTAATGCCGGAAAACACGATCAAATCTGGGTTTGGCGAAACGTAGCGCGCAACAGTGGCGCTCTCTCTCTCTCTCTCTCTCTCTCTCTCTCTCTCTCTCCGATTCGCATCAACGACCATGAATCGAATCGTCGTCTACCACCACGATAAAAGTAATTCCATTTGACCGGACGGGGAAGAACCGTTCGTATCCCAGCCGATCTGACTTCAAGTTCAACGAGTTCAAGGGTTGAAAATCGATGCCTTCGACGTTTTTTCGTATTATAATGGCAATTTTTTTTTTGTTTTTTTTTTTGTTGTGTTTATGAAGCATAAAACAGATATCAAAAAATTGTGCTCTCGCTTAATAATTGATTCTGTTAACTATGAATAATGATAATAATCAACATGGAGCACAATAAATAAATCTCGTGAATTTTAAACAAAAATAAAAGAAAAATTTTTAACTATAACATGAAATATCACATCTGTCAAAATATTAATTTCAACAAAGAACAATTTTTCCCTTCTTTGATCTGAAACTTGACAAGAACAATGTATAATATCTTCGAATATTTTGGCGATATTAACGCCAAAATATTTCGTTAAGTATAATTGAAAAATAATAACAATTTACACGAAATAATAAAACTTAAATTTTAACAAAAAAAAAAAAAAGAATCTTTTCTAATCTAAAATTTACTAAAAGAATGAGTAATTCTTACGTTAATTATTAAATATAATTTATTAAAAATAATAATAATCAACATGGAAGATCAGGACAAATTTCGACAAAGAAAAATTTTTTTTCACCGATCTGAAATTTACCACAAAAATAACGTATAATTTTTCAATTTATTTTGGTGGCATTAACGTCATCATCTTATTAAGTATAAACTATAAAAAATAATAACAATTAATATGATCATGACATATATGAAGTACGAAATTTCAACAAAAAAAATTTTTTTCCTCCTCCAATTCGAAACTCGCCAAAAGCGACGCGAAAGGAATGCATAATTCCCGGAGAATCGTACGTGGATGACTTTTGGCGTGGGCGTCATCAACGTCACCCCGAGCAATCGAAGTCTCACCCTTCTTTCCAGCTCGCCGCAACCAGTACCGCTTCGGCGTGTTCCTCTTTTAACGGGGAAAAACGAGTGGCGGCACCCCGTAGCTGTTTGACTTAATTTTATGAGGGGTCGCTCAGGACATGGAGGGCGGTATACCCACCTCTCTGTGACGCCGCAGTTGGCCGAAAGGAGGAGGGGGGAGGGGTGGAATCCACGACGGAGGCTTAGCGGATAAAAATTATCCGTTTAAAGTCGAGAAGCGCTATAAAAGTGTAGTTAAGGTAGCGCCTGAGAAACGGGCCACCTATTACCACCACCATCCCCGCCTCCTCATTTGCCTCAAACGCCCTACAATAATTATAATTGATAAAGTAACCGAGGGGACCGCGAGGAACTTTCGAGAAATTAAACTTCTTCTTCTCTAGATCGGCTTCACTTTAATCCACGAACTCTCTCTTCGTCTCGATTGTTAATATTTTCTGTTTTTATTTTTTTCATTTTTTATTTGTTTCTTTTGCTTGGATAATTGAATTTTTTTTTGCATTCTTAAATCTTTATTATTAAATTATGGCAATACTGATAGGAATAATTAAATGATTTAATTGATAATTAATATATTGCGAAATTTCTTAAATCTTTGAAAATCTAGAGAAACTAATTAACTAATTAAAAAGAGAATTAAAAAATTGCCACGATCGTAAGAAATGATCTCTCTCAAATGATTTTTTCTCAAATTGGAAAATATTGTTATAGTACCACACAATCGAATTCCGTTCTAGTGATATTTTTTACTATCAAGATGGAAAAAGTCACCAAAAAGGTTATCGATAGTGCAAAGGATAAATTTCCACTGTCTAGTGGAATTGAAAGAAATTTGACGTCGAAGAAGGATAGTAAGGCCAATGATCGCAAAGCTTTCGGTCACTTTTACTCTTTAAGGAAAAAAAAAGTAGAAATAGACGAACACGCGCGTCTCCGTATGCATAGAAAAAAAAACCCTAATATTTATGAGCAAACTGATCGATCTCAGGTCTCCACTCGCAGATCGGATCTCACTAAATCACCGTTGGTATACGCCTAGGAAGGAACTAGTCGTTCCCTCGTCCCTTTTACGGGCGGAAGACAGACCGTAAGGTCCAGCGTATGTTTCGTACAACGACCAAGGACGAGGAATAAAGGAAAGGGGATATCGATCGAACGGGAACAGAGGCGAACGATATCTGTGCTTTCTTTTAGTTTCTTTGGAAATTATATGAGTTTATAAACATGATTAATAAATTAATTTTTATGCAATTAAAACAAGTTATCTACAGAGATAATTGAATGTGATATAATATAGTGTGAGAAATTCAATGAAGTATGAATTTAGTAATTTTATGCTATTATATAAAATAAAAATCATTGTTACTAGAATATTACTAGATATGTTAAATTATCAATGATAATGATCGATTCGATAGATTTGTTTCTTAAAGAAGAATGAACGCTTTCTAAGGTGGAAAAAGCATGAAGTATTCGCAAACGAAGTTCAGAATCATGTACGTGGTCATCGAGGAGGTAGAAGAAGGGTAGTTTGATCTGATTAGTGAGTATCGATTCTATTTGACGACCCAACTGTCCGACTGGGTCAGGGTAGTATTCTTCAGGGTCATTACACTATCTGTATTAACATAATGTCGTGATTTCATGGAAATATCATAAAAATTGTGACAGAAAGTTTTTACTTCTTCATTTATTCTTCAAAAATTCTCAAAACGAGATTTTTTACGTTTTCTAAATTTTTAAAATGTAATTATTTTCTACATTTTTCTAAATTTTCGCTTTTAAATTGTTTAACTACCGTTACAAAGTATATTTTTTAACTTCGTGTCAATTAATAAATAATTATAATAAAGTTGTGATTATCGATTATCGATATCTTATTGATAATTTTCAATATATCGATAATATATTGAAATATCGTTAACGAATAGAAAGAGTTCCAATTTTTAATCGAAATTATTATTATTAAAAAAATTATTATTATTATTATTAAAAATTCAAAATGTTGTTTGTAATAAACTTCAACAAAAATAAATTAATATTATTAAAAAATTATATTGTAATCTTCTATTCAATGTATTATCGATATCTTAACGATATATAAAATTGAAAATTCGATGAAATATGGTTAATCCATAATAATAATTGTTAAGAACATTTTTGATAATAAATTTGAATAAGAAGAAACAGAAATTTTAATTATTTTCATTTATTATGAATATTTAACAATATTATCGATATATCGAATCATCGATAATCATTCTGAATTATAATTCAATACTAAATAATAGTAGTAAATATTACTAATAAAATCGACATTAAAAACGAATTAAAGATCCAAGACCAAAAACAAAGAACATCGAAATGTCAAAGAGACAAACAAATTACTCGGTCGGTCGGAAACATCGTGAATTTCCATGGCAGCATTGGACGCGACCATTGAACACGGATCGTCGATCGAGTCGTCTACGAAGAGAGTGGGTCAAGGTGGCCGTCTTCGTGATCTCCTTAGTTCCGCGTTCTACTGGCGGGTTTCGTTCATTCGTTTATTCGGTGAATATGGATAGTGTGTGCATCGACATGTATACGCGTGTTCCTTCACTTATATGTATGTGCGACACGATTGTATGTAGGTACGGATATAACCTATGTGCCGCGTCATCAACCACTGTGAACCTACACCGTCATCAGAAGCGAAAGATGCTGGCGTCGCCAAATCTTCCCTTTCTCCACCTTCTATACGCGGCGAGAGTAAACGTGACGTCACTAGCTTAAAGCTGCTAGACGAAATGAGAAGAACCGATTGATTCGTCCTTTTCGTTTCGTTTACCTTCTTACTCTCCTTACTTGAAAGTTATCTGTATAAGTGATAAAGAATCTTGGACTCAATGAAGGAATGAATTATTATTGGTTATTATTGGTCAATTATACTGATGGCTGCATTCATTTGAATTGTTTTTGTGATCTTAGATCTTGATTCGAAGTGCCTAACCTAAGTATCGTAAGTGACCTGAATCTAACTTAACCTAAATACAGATTCCAATGAAGTTGCACAAAAACTATTTTGATTTAATTTTGATTTTTAAATGTATCATAAAAGATAACTTTTTCTCTTAGTTTTTGAGATATTACAGAAAAAAATTATTATTATTATTATAGATATACATCTATGACCGCGTATTATATCTTTATGCATTGTTATATATAATCAATGAAATGACATCATACCATCAACATAGCAATGCAAACATAAGAACAATTTTGATACTATCATACGTGTGTGGTCTGTGATAATTTATAATCGTGATATCAATCCCTCGAAAGAAATATGATTAATAGCTGTAAACAAGATGTAAGAAAACAATTCATTGTACACTGGAAACATTTTAACATCTCCTACTGCATTCAAGTTTTCAATGTTCTTAAATTATGATATAGAACATTTATTTTGAATTTACATTAAAGATCAAGGATTTTATCCATTTTTTATTCATTTTCCATCTATTTTAACCACTCTTATGATCATTCCACATTATTTTTTTATATGATTGATAATAATGTATAATCTAATCTATAAGTAACTTTTGACGAGATGAAGCGTGTTATTCCAAATGCAAATCGGTAATTCTCAATTTTTCAAAATTAAAAAAACGCAAATTAATTTGATTACTATATTTTCTAGGAAAGATTCGAAACCTTTTTATATAAGATCCGAGACTCGTATACACACTTGCCATTGTTTATCTAAAATTTACCGACACACAAAAGGTAGGTGAACGAGATGGTGCACGTACAGAACAGAATCGTTACGTACTTACATTATATACAAGCACAGATGGAAGAGGCAGCAACGTCCACGTCACTCGGTAAGGGGGTGTCATAGAGGAAAGCCGGCACAAGGGGTGACGACGGTAGATAGAGATAGGCCACGATGCCCGCGTGACTTGACAATAAAGCTCATCTCACCTCCAACTCGTTCTGCAGCCTCCTTTTTCACTTCCCTTCTTCATTCTCGCTCGTCCTTCGTGCCACGATTCACTTCCCCGCTACACACTTGATCCATCTGCTTCATTCGATACTCGTACGATGTAGAATCTACCTATGAGCTTCATTCGCCTATACACTTACATTCCTTTTTTTTTTTTTTTAAGGTATCGCTTGCCAATTGGCTGGGTGCTCGAAACGTTTCATAATGCGTTCGAACGGAGTTATAAAACGAGCGAAACTCGAGCCTGTAACCGCTCTACGGCTCTCTTATCTTTTCTTTTCGAAACGATGCCAGATGCATATGTATATACGTGAATGTTGACACGTGAATGTTCGGTCAACTCATCTTTCCTTTCTTTCTTAATAGAAGAAATCAACAAAAATCAAAAAGGATTTGAAGGACGAATATAGATGATAATTTAAAAATGGTCAAGAAGAAAAAGAAGAAGATAGAGATTATAAAGAAGTTAAAAGATAGAGATTATTAAAAAATTAGATAATTGCTCACATAATTGAATCGACGATTTTGGATATATTTGAAGTTGTAAAGCTATATACTATCTCTGCGAAATAGATATGATATTATAATATTAATAGATAGTACTCATATCACTATAAGTTTTTAATAATATGAATATATTTGCAGAATTCTTGAAAATTATTCTTGAGATATTTTTTTTATATAATAAAGTTCGTTGAATAAAAATTATGTCAAATTATTTTCAATGCAGAGAAATATTTGCAAAGAATTCTCAAAAGGAAAGTTTTAATCTTAAATATATCATCTTAAATATATTCTCTAAGGATTGTTCTTGAAAGTTATAATTTGTTAATAATGCAATGGATTTACGTAATAATACAATGCATTTACGAAAAATAAATTTGGAGAGTTTTACTATCAATTATATTCATACAAACATTATGATATAAGTTCACATCTATTCTCGATAATCGATTGAACGAATAATAGCATTATTACGAGTTGTTTCAATGCTAACAACGAGAATGAAACACCAGTAGAAGGTAGCGATCAGTCAATCTGTCAGTGTGACGAGCGACGTCTGTTCAGAGTTGGCGAGGGTCGAAGACAAGCCCATTGTCAACCGACCCCTGCGGACAAGTTAGTTAAATCCTCGTTAGAACTTTATCCACCTTCCTGCTTGACACCTATTGCAAACGTTACTGTAATTTGATTTTTCGTATTTTCAGATATATTTCTATAATAGTTATAAGTATTTATATTATAAAAATTATTTGAGAAATTTAAGATATTTAAAATTAGAATTAAAATGATATAATAAAGATAAATTATTTTATTATATATATAGTTTGTTCATCTGATATTATTTTGAAAAAAGATAAGTATTTCACGTTTTTCTTGTTTTTTATATATCAAGTTTTATAAATTAAAATGTTAAGCAGTTAAAATATTAAAAAATATATAATTTTTAAAAAAACATTTTTTATGTGTTCGAAAAATCTACAATTCATATTTTAATATATTTCTTTTCTTTAGTTCTAATGTTAAAATAATTTTTTCCAAAAATATCTATATCTTTTCATTAAAATAAAAAATTTAAAATCGTTTTGGTATATTTTATAATTATAGAATTAAAATAGTTCAATTAAAGCAAAAGGACTTCTAAAAATTAAATTAAAAAAAAAAAATATTAAAAAGACGTTAAAAACATTATACAATTATATAATGTGAATATAATACAATTGTATAAAAACGCTAATGATATTTACGATCTGCCAATTAATTATGCGTTATTAATTCTCGTGTAGACTTTTCTATATTTCTGAATATTCGAGATTATATATATCCGCCGAATTATTCGTGCTCGTAATTTCACGGATATGTATGTATGTGTGTATACATGGGGCACGATCTTATGAACCGTTCTATTCCACGCTACGGGTTTCACCGAAAGAGGTGAACGTTTTGTTTACCAACGTTCCATCTCGATGGATTCATCGTGGAACGGCGGTGTCAGCAGAAACGGCGTTGCAAATAAAGTGAGGGAAGCCGAGAACGACGAGACTCTACGTCCATTCGCGGCTTTTGTGAAAACGCGTGCCAATGTTTCTCATTTTCGAAAATAGAACATGTCAAAATGATAAATCTCGTGTTTGTAATTGTTCAATGTTACAATTTTGATCATTGATCTTAATTAAAATTTAGATATTTTAAAAGGATTAGATTAATAAAAGGAAAAGCTAAAAAGAAATTTTAATTTTAGGTTAGATTAATTCAATTTATCTCATTTTAAAATTAGTCGAATTATTTCAATTTTATTATGTTATATTATATATTATAATTATGTTATACAAAGATTAATAAAGAAAATTAGCAAAAGAAAGAAAAGAATAAAGATTTTAATTTTAATTTTGTTATTCAATTTTGAATCGCTCCAATTATTTTCTTTCCTAAGTAATTTTAATGCAAATATCGAAATTAGAAATGAAAAGAAAAAAAATTTAATTTTTTTAAATTAAACGAAAAGAAATTAAAAAATATATTATCTGAAAGGTATGAAAAATCACGAAGTTTTAATTCGCTCGATCGTCACGTTGATTATATAGTAATTCGAAACTGATACTTGCACATGTTGCAAATATTTGTTGGTCAAAGTTACGGGAAGGTTAATGAGAATGGCAAAGTAAGAGATAGACAAAAGAAGGTTTGTTGGTGCATAAAAGAATGAAGGGGATTCCATACCCAATGCTCGTGTCTGCCTCTCAAATAAAATGCTGAGCCTGCACATTGCACGTTACACCTAGAATCATGCGAAATGCGGACCGCCGTTAACCAGAACTTTTCCTTCCACAATTTCTTTCTTCATCATCTTTTCTTTTCTTTCTTCGTACGCTTTAATTAAGAGCAATATTATTCTTCTATTTCTCAAAAAAAATATTATTAATTTTTATCAAAATTAGGAATCTTGTAACAATATTTATTTTTGACAATTTTTAGGTTAGGTTTTAATAAATCTTTTTGAATAAAAACTTGAATTCTTTATATTTAATATATATTTTTAATGTATAATGAAAATTTTTCTATTTTTTAATAAATTATCTCAATGACTATTCGATTATATTTTTACAATGAAGATTATTTTTCATCATCTAAAATATAAGATGTCTAAAGGATAGGATACAATTAGAGAATATACGGGTGAAAAAGATAGGCAGATATATCTGAAACTGCCGATATCGACATTTATTTATAATAAGAAGTATAATAATTATTTTATATACACATGAAAAGATGTAACGGGAATTAAAACATTCTTAAGTCGAATTGGAAACATTCTCGGTCGATAGAAACGACCTAAAATAATCCAATCACGATAAAACAATAATATAGTACTTCATATGTCATCTGATATGACAGTGGCGTAATTTTTGTATCAAATAAATATCTTATCATTTTTACACTCATACAATTACAAATTAAACAAAAAAATGAATGTTTTGTTTATCTATAAAATTTTCTTTTTGAAAAATTTTCACTTTCGAAGATTTTTTTTAATAATTTACTATCGCGTAGTTATTACATATCACTAGATAATCATTTAAAAATTTCGCACCAAAATTTACGCCGCTGTTCAACGCAAAAAAATATAATGTAGCCCCCTTTTCTTTTCTAAAGAACCCCTTAAAAAAAAATCTAAAATTTGGCCAATAATTTATAGAGCTACCGTATACAGATCAATTTGTGCCATAAGTACTAAAATCGATATCACTGTTCACGTAATGAAAATGTATCAGCACGCGTTCTTATTTTTTTATCATCTTGAGATCCATCTGGCTTCCGATGTTCGTCATTTCGAATCTGATCGAAAACGGATAATTATCAATCCATTCGCGCTATACGTGATCATAAACATTAATATAATAGAAGCCAGAAACAAATTTTATCTTTTTATTTGGACAATATCATCTTTAGTACGCGATTCGAATCGGATTTCGCATCGTAAAACGACAAAACGAAAAACCAACATCTAATTTGTAAGAGTTAGTTATCGCGATAAAAATAAAGAAGAAACAAAATATAAACGATATTCATTGGCACAGAAATGTACAATGAGTTCGTACTATCGTCTATTTCACCGATTAATCATTGAAGTACGAGCCGCAATATTTGGTAGGTAAGTGAAAACACGCTTACACCGATAAATTTGTTGTTTAATTAGCGTTTTCATTGACTACTAGATGGCAATAAGCTGAGTCTAAAATGATCAGGCCACAAAAATTAAGCAATCATGACCAACGAAAGATTTGACGATTTTTTAGATAGATATGGTTATTTGAAAGTATTCTGTATAAATTTGTAAAATAATTGTCCTAGTAATAAGATGTATAATTTTGATTTCATCACAATAAACAATAGTTTCAAAAAATTATGTTACATACTCCACACACATAACTATTCAAAATGAATAAACAAAGAGAAAGAAGGAACAATAAAAAAAAAATAATGAGTGAGATGAAATATTAAGCTAATGCTGTCCAAACTTTATTTTCGCGTATATTTTTGTCGCTCCATGTTTCATCTTCCGTTTAATAAAAAAATAGAAAAAAAAAGTAAGTCATATTAAATCTCTTTTTGAATCGTCTTTTTCTTATAATAACAACGCGTCAAGATTAGAATATATAAGGCGTGTTCCACTTTATAAGCACTGTTTTAAAATATTTGTCATTTACATAAAAAACTAAGCAGTTTCTAGAAATTAAAACATCAACGAAAATATCGTTGAATGTATTGTATTTGACACAATGAATAACTCTTGATTGGTATCACAGGTAATTAACACGATTTAGATTAGGTTATTTAATTTTAGAGCATTTAACTTTGTATTGAATATTTTTTTAATATTTAATATTTATTTTGTATTAAATATTTCACTATAATATCCTCAAAATTCATTTCTATATAGATCTAGAGAAGTTTTTTTTCTTAGCAAAAAAATTATGCATGCCCATTTTTATTTAAGTATCTTATATATTTATTAAAATTTTATTTATAAAAAATGAAAATATATCTTTAATCGATAACATAATCTAATTTTAATGATACTCTATTTTTCTAAACCCAAATAATTGAATCTAAAACAATAAAAAATCTTGATGTATTATTGCAAAATTATACATATATATTGAAAAGGTTAAATAACATAACCTAAATTGTCGCATTCCTATGATCCAGCACCACTAGTTCAAAATTAATATTATTAATACCAAAAATAATAAAAAATAACAAATAGCAACGAAGATTATTCAAATCAATTATTCGCGACGAAACATATCAAAGAAATTATATTATGATTATAAATTAAATAACAATCAATAAAATGCTAAACCTCTTGAACGATAGATTTTCGAGCTTTATTCTTCGTGTTTTTACTGCTCTACAACAAAGTAAATACGATTCGCTTCTATTTTTCTTCTGTTTATTCCCTTTTTGGTACAGTATTTGGTAAAGACGTCCACCACGAGCAATATATTCATATATCTATGAGAATAGAACTAATTATTTTTAATCTAATGATACCTTAGTTGCGTTGGTAACTCCATACGCGATTTACAAAGTCGATTTAACAGTCAAGGCTCTTTTTTTTTTGCCGTAGCTCTTAACAAATCTATACATAAGAAAAAAATATGGAAGAACTAAACGCTATATACACATAGACGAGATTAAAGATGTGCTTAAGACTTCAGTCACAGATCGAAAGAAAATAAGAAACGCACATTTCTCGAAGTGTATACCCGGTTGCTTGTCTGGTCTTTCTTTTTTTTCAACCCACGCGCACAGGTATGTCACTGTGAACAAAATTTTGGAAAATGATCATCTTTACGGTTTTTCTTCCCCGAAAAATATATTTATAATAATTATTTTAATTCGTTTATTTGGAGAAAAATTATAAAACATTTTGCGAAAATTATATCTAATAAAGAATAAATGAAAGTTAAAAAATTTTTAAATTCGAATTTTTTTTCGAAATAATATTTTATTATCAAAATTTTGATCAAAATAATTATGAAAAGATTATAAATATAGCTATTATGAGATGTAAAGCTGAAAGGATTTTCATCATGATACGAGGATTTACGCAGGATTACGAGAATGATCCGATAGAAAATCTAAACGACAGCTTTAATCCCATTCGAACAATCACATTATATTCTTCTTAACAAAAATATTTAACAATAAGATAGAAAGCATAAAAATTGTATCGTGTAACTTAAAATATAAATAAAATATTTGAAATAATATAAAATAAAAGTTACTACTATGAAATGTTACTACTATAAAATTAAGCATTAAATATTTCATTAAAAATAAGCAATAAAAAACTTTACAAATACTCCATTTTTTAAATATTACTACTATAGAAATTCAAGAAACTTCAAGCATTATAATTGTAAATCGATGATCCTTATTAAAAACATATAAAAGAATGAATTCCATAACGAAAAAAAATTTCTACTTGAAATAAAAAAAAATATATTTATTATATCTATATTATAAGAAAATATAAAATTAAATATAAGAAAAATATTATTTTTTACTTACCGATCAAGAATCTCGCGATTACACGATGGATATCTCTTCAGGTCCAACAAGCGCCTCCTCGGCGCTGTCGATGTCACAGATAGACTTCTGGACTGGCAGGCGCCGGTTGATGTTGAGGCGGCTGCTGTTGTTGTGGTTGTTGTTGCGGTTGATTCTGCGTCTGATGCTGCTGCGGCTGTGATTGCGGTTGCTGTTGCTGCTGGGATGCCTGTTGCTGATGATGATTGTGATTGTGATTATGATTGTGGCTCTGCCGTGTTCTCAGAATCTCGCATCGTTGCTTATAAAGATCGCGTTCTTGCTGGACCCGTGCCAATTCGATTTTTACTCGTTGAAGTTCGTTCTGCAGGTTACGGTTTGTTGTCTCAAGGTCGTGCCGTTGTTGAAGTCGCTTGCTACGACAGTTTTGAGCATAGCCACGGTTCTTCAACGTACGTCGCTTCTGCTTCAGGCGTACGACCTTCGCAAAACAGGAGGATTCCTTTTACGAACGAATTCGTTATGGATCTCGGATTAATAAGAGATGAATTGGTTCTGTCTGCTCGATTGCTATTCCTATATGCAGTTTTGTTAATTGTTTTTGTGAACTGGAACTTGGGAATAGCTGCAAAAATTCGAACAGGATCAAGCAAAATCTTAATACGTACTGTCGTATTATTCTCGAAACTCGATTCGAGATATAAATACAAATGGTAATTCGACTTCGGATCAACTCGGCAATAATCGGAACTGGTCAAACTTCGGATCGAACTGATCGCGTTCGAAGATACTATTGTGTTTAAAATGTTTAAATGATAAATTAATAGATTCATTATATCTACATTTACATCGTTAATATATCAAGGTAAATAATTAAATAATTTACAAATGAAAATAAGATTCGTGATACATTTTATTTATAATATATTGAAATGTTTCGTTTTTAAATGAACTAACCTTTTCGTGTCAACATTAACTCGAATTATTTCGTAGGCCAAGTCTTTTAGGAGTTTCAAATGTTCATAGATCATGTATGAGATAAAATAATTTGTATAATAGATAAGAAGTTTATAGAAGTTTCATAAACTGGAAATTAATATATTGAAAAAGAAAGAAATTTACACTCATCTAAGTAATCGAACATAGTAACGATTCGTGTCGGACGAAAAAACGACTTGTTCTACTGCAGTCACAGATACCAATTCACTCTCGTTTCACTTAAAATTATCTATCTACGAATCCTATCGATTTCATAATTATTTCATCTTTTCCTCTATCTTTATCGAAAAGATTTCCACGGATAACGTATCGTAAATATTATTGCGATGATAAAAAAAAAAATTGAATTGAAAAGAAAAGCTTAGAAAATCAGAGCGAGAACGAGAGGCGAAATAAAGAAAAATTTGTGAATGAAACCAAGGCGAGGCATTACCTATGCGAAAGTGTCGTTAAAAATGTAAGAGACCTGACTCACCTCTTCCCGCGGGCAACCATGGAGGCGTTTGTTCAATTCACGCACGGAAAGTGACATGAGCAGCTCGTCGTTCATGAGTTCTTCCTGAGGATTATTATTCCCGCAATTTGGATAAAGACCATTCCCTGTCCTGTGGGCTGGGCTCGGTCCACTAGCGCCACAAGAACTCACTGAACAAACGCTCATCGGTCTTTGCATCTGTATCCCTTGCATACTGTCTTCCATTCCTGAAATTCCACTTCCGCCCGCGGGAAGCATCCCGCCGCCTGATCCAGCACCTCCACAGTATTCTATGTGGCCTGACATCGTGATGTATCCACCTATGACAATAACATTTTCTAACCTCAAATACTTTTTTTTTACAGGGCAATGATGGAAATTCATTTATTCGGAGTCGAGAAAAATAGATTTTTTAAATAATTACAAATATAAATATAAATCTATTATTTGCATTGCTTTTTTATGTTATATTATATTTATACGATGTTCAAAATTATTATTCTTCGTAACAATACTTAATAACAATAACTTTTTGTAATGTTTTCGTAAACGTATGTCGATAAATAATGATATTTTTATAAAAAACAAAAACATAAACATACAACGTCAAATTCGTAGAAATTTCGTAAGATCAATGTGCAACATGTTTTCAAATTGAATCTTCAATTACTGATCATCATTAATTATACAATGTTTCTAGTACAAACTTATAATTCTCACAATAATATATATATTTCTTTATTATTAGCATTTCAAAGAGAAATTTATTCACAAACTTCTATATTAATACTAAATTATTTATTTCTTTTTATTTATTTATTTCAAAAATCTATTTTTCTCAATTCTAATATTTCCTTGTTCTATTAGTATTTCCCAAATTTCCTTCACTCACCAGTATGTCTGGGATAACGTTGCAAACGTTGCAGATCTTGGAAATGATGATGACTCGGCCAAGCTTCGTGATGCGGTTCCGGCGGTTCCTGAGGACAATGAGGTCTGAGATCGAGCGGTTCCTGCCTAAGAGACTGCGTCAACCATCCCATGCCACCTGTGCCGGGTTGCATCTCATCTTGTACGATCGAGCCAGGTTGTTGCAGTTGCAAGAACAATCCTCTCTCGCGCGAATCCTGCTCGCTCCTATGCAATTGCAATGGCGGCGGGGACGCCGAAACCGGAGGCGTATCCGGTGGTGTTCCAGGATGCGAAAGGGTTGTCAGATGAGACGCTGCACCCGGAGGTGCCTTCACCAGGACACCGTGCTGCACTTGGATATGCGGTTGTCCGTATAAAGGATGGGGTTGCTCGAGCTCGTGCGCCGGCGGCGTCAAAGGCGCCAGAGCTAGGCCTTGAGTTTGTACCTGGCCAGGTAATTGTACCACGCTACCGTTCACCATCATTGGGGAGCTGATTCGTACCTGAAACGAAACAGTCGATTAATCTCTTTCTTCCATTTTTCTTTTTCTTTCTGTTTTTCACTCTCTTAAGTTTTTTTTTTTTTTTTTAGGAAAAGTATTACGAGCTATTTAAACGTTGCAAAAAGAGGTTAGAAAATCCTGAATGAAGATTAAAACTTTAACGATTTTTTAGCTTTAATTGGATTTACTTTTAGATATTGTTGATATTTTGGAAATAATCGTGTAAGTAAATATGAAAATTATTGAAAAATAATCTTTTGTGAATGACGGTGAGTTCTTCGAGTATCATTTATATTAATAACAAATGAATGCTATCATGGTACAATTATATGAATAAAAAAGTAGAGATAGAAGTTACATAATTTTTGAACAGAAATAAAGAGCTTTAAGTAATAAGTATGATAATGTAGATTAAAGTTGTTATTGAATTATTATAATTAAAAAACGAAAATTCGATTAAAATACAAATTTCTTTTTGCAGATTTTTAAAATATTGGATGATGTTGAAAAAATTTCAAAAATTATTCGATTTAATATCATATGTAGCAATTACATTTACATCTAATTCACAAGAATAAAATATCTCAATCAATGTACAATGTATACAATAATAACACTGAATATAAATTTAATATCTCTAATGAATACGAAAAGTGTTCAATATTTATATGAACCAGTACTCATATAGAAATGTGTTTCATGTTTTTTTCTACATACATATACAATGTAATAATTTCAAGCTTATATAATGCAAAACGGCGCACGTGACTCTATATATATACATATATACAATCTCAACTTCAGTGGAAATTTTCAGCGTGTAATGCACATGAATTAATTTGTTGTCTCTGTGTGAAAAAAAAACATGATAAACTAACTTGTGAATGACCTCATTCAATGGACTCTCTTCGATGAAAGTTTCGAATCAATCAACAGATATTCGATTAGTATAACGTTAATGTGATTTGAATGTGGAATATCTTATCACAAATTTTTATTGCTTAGAAATTGTGATATATTTATTATAACTAAGAGAATGAAATTATGCAAATATATTTTATTTTTGTGAAAAAAAATTATCTTTTAAATAAATTGAATATTTACTAAACATTTTTTAATTATATCACAAAAATTTATAAAATCGTAAAAAGAAAAAATTTATTAATTCAATAAATAAAAAGAAAAATAATGACAATATATCGTGAAATGAAATAAAATTTTAAAAACCTGTATAAATAAAAGTTTTAAAACCTGTATAAATAAAAGTTTTAAAACCTGTATAAATTATCTACTAAAATGCGGCTACAAATTTTAATTTTACGAACATTTACTAATGAAATGAAGTACAAATGTAAATAAATTAAAAAACTTGAATAGATATTAATTTTAGATATCTTTTTGTTGTTTGTCCATTTTATATATTTTTATGCATTTAAATTTCTCATAAATATATAAAAACATCCGCAGTTTAATTATCATTTAAAACAAATGATACAGGATTATCTCTGATAAGCCGATATAAATAAAAATAAAAATAATCACAGAATCGAAAAATAAAATAAAATTCAATTATCCATTAAGCCAGAATATTTGTGCAAATTCATTATTGAATGTATGAAAGTTAAACAGAGATTCAATCTTCTCTTTAATTATTATAACGACTATATTTTATATTTTAGAGAAATGTTAAATTATTTTTCTTTTTTTTTTTTTAAGAAAAAAGAAAAAATAAAAATTGATTTGAAAAATTATTTTCGTTCGAATCTTTCAATTTTTCATGTATAAGATAAAACGATTCACAATTATAATTATGAAAGAAATAAAGAAAGAAATGGAATGTACTATGTACGATCTGATAATAATAGTGATAATAATCAATCACTAACCTCCCGTTTGACGTCGGCGGGATCGAGATGATCGAGAACAAACTCCTGTACGTATTCCCTCGCGAGATGCTCCTCGGCTTCCATCTTAACCTCGTCGACCTCTACCTCCACCTCCTGCGCCTCCACCTCCTCTACCGTGCCCGTTGTGGCTGCATACGGGAACGTCTTCTCGTTGCTTCCACCACCTCCACCACCACCACCGCCGCCACCGCCCTCGCCACCTCCTGGACAACTCGTCACCGTTTGTTGCGTTGTGACCACCTTTCCAGACGACTCCGCCTAACGACTACCGAAATCGCTATTCTCGATCTTCTCGCAAACGTGATACCGATTACGAATACACGCCACGTGAGCTAAACTCTCAATTTTTCACTTTAAATATTCACTGGTTTATATTATTTTCTCTTTAATAAATGAAAATAAGTAATTATTTTCGTTGATCCTTGATATGATACGCGTTTTTCAAGAACACGTCGTTTTCTAACGTTTGTCCCTAAACAGATGCTAGAGAATGATGGAATTGATAAACTTTAATAGATATCGAAGTGTAAAATAATGAAATAGAGTTTTAATGAATTAACTTTATATCGGCGAGAATTCTTTTTAAAAATGTAAAAAAAGTGTTTATAAGAGGTTAATCAATCACTTTCTACGAACTATGTATATTTTATCACACAATTATTCCACAAAACGATCGTTTCGATTAAAAAATCAAAAAATTCACTGATCGAATCGCTCAATTAGACGTCTATCGCGTCTTTGACAACACTGACAACACTGTCACTCACGGCTCACTTTTTCGCAATGTTCCCGCCAAAAAATGAATCTGTTCCCAATTCACAATCCTTTCGATCAATGAACTTAAAATTATTTCGCCCGATCGAAAGTATAACAAGAATTAACAAAATTCGTTGCGAAAAAATCGACGAAAAACTATCTTCTGTTTTATCGCGATTTTTCTCGCGTGCGTGTACGTCACAAGCCGGGGATCCGGTGGAAAAGAAAAAGAAGACGTGTGTGGTAAGCTGAATACGTCGTCCGAGTGGTGACTGGTCCGACGAGTGTGGGTGAGAGTACCTCTACGCGCAGGACACGTTGACGTCGCGAATGGGTGTGGCCAACGTTACTCGGCCCTCGGACGCGTGCAACGATTGGTCCGATGAGAGAGGAGTCGCCATTTGCACATTCTACTCTTGCTCCCACTACGGAGGTCCACCTTGTCACTCCCGGCACGGATCTCCCGTGGTTTCGCGGAGGTACCATTAATTTCTAAAGTGATTATTATAATTTTTCAACGGACGCGCTGCTACTCTCCCCCACTCTTTCATAATATGCGCGCACATCGTCTCCTGATCCTTGCCCGCGTATACTTACTCTGCTCCCTTTTCTAATTTTTCAATTTAGCGCCGCGATTTGTACATAAGGGATGTCCCATTATCAAGCATCCATGATCTGAAAATTCGGAAAATACGGAATTTTCTATACGATTTAAGGTGTCACTAGGCTCATCACGCACTTGAAACAAGGAACGACGATATATGCCGATGAAATATGCTGACGCTCGCGCGACCAGAATTAGGGAACGCAAAAATTAATGACCGGTTTTCAGCGGGTGGATTTGAATCGGAAAAATTTCGCAAAGGGAAATTGAAGCGCGAAATTAAATTGCGTGACCTCATTCTGGCGACACGAATTCGCAAGAATCGTCGAAGATAAATAATCGTTATCGTTGGATAATCAGAATCATTTTTTTAATTTCTCGATTGTTGAAATATTGAGCATTATTGAATATTTTAATTTTGTAACTAGATATTATTTATCTTTTTGTCCTTTTTTTATTATCTGTTTTTTAATCCTTTGAGCGTTTACATATAAGCGATTACATATAAGCGTTTACATATAAGCGATATAAAAATAACTATGAAAAATAAAAAAAAAAATAAATACAGATTAATAAAATAATAAATAGATCGACATATATATAAATTTCCATGAACTATTTATAATTTCTTATCGCTTTTATTTTTGAAACGTTTTATTTTCATACACGTTTCACAATATATTCATTGCTATTTATATTCCTACGCAACGAAACTAACAAGGGAACTAATCTAAAAATTATTTATAAAAGTAAATATCTTTTTTTTTTTTTTTTCTATTAAACAAAAATTCGACATCTCAGAATTCACAGAGAAAATGCGAACGAGAGGGCGCGAATCACGAACTCGCATTTAAATAGGTTTCCACAAATGTCTACCCCTGCTTAGCAGTCTATATTCTATACCCATTTCTCGGATGGCACGACTTTAAAATGCTTCATGAATATCAAATTTTCGTTCTCTCGCACCCTCTCTTTCCCCCCTCTGTATCTCCTCCCACCGAATTCCTTTTTTCTTCTTCTTCCATTTCTTTATTTCTCATTTCCACTCGTTAGTACTCCGCTTGGAAACAAATTCGTAGCGCCTGCAACCATGCATTTTCTAAACTTTTAATGACTTCGCTTCTCCCTCTATTACGTTATTTGCTGTTTTGTATATATAATTACAAAAATTACATAATTAACGAATACATATTTTTCTAAAAAAAAGTCTTCTTTTCGTATGATCTTTTTCCAAACTAATATCCTTTCTCTGAAATATATTATTGTCTAAATTTATATTATTCTTTATTTCTGAAATCATCCAAAACGCGTTAATAAAATTCGTTTGCCATTAAATTTAATTTATTGAAATGAGAAAAACTCGTCCATACCACTGTGAAAATTATACGTAACAGAGAAATCGATCTCCCTTAATTAATTTAAATCTTCCCTTGAATCTGAAATCGGTGCAGGTGTACAAAAATTTCTGAGAATCGTTGGCCAGGTCGATCGCTGGAAAAAATTTTTTTCGGACTCGTCGCATCGCGAAACTGCGCTCCGCTTTTGGTATCGAGTACGGAGGGCGGACGACGAGGAGGGAATGAAAAAGAAAACGGCAGGCAGAGGACATCGAAGTGCAGCGTCGACAAATTCCTCGGCCAACAAAATGGCCAATCCTATCGTCCTCCTCCACGTTCTATTCCGGGGTCTTTGCGACACTCGCCCGTCTAGACCAACAAAATTCTGTCTGTCTTGTCACCTTGGCACAGGCTAGGTTAAAGGCACGGATAGACCTTAAAGTTTCCTACGTTTCTTCGTCATTCCTTTTACCTTCTTTCGTCTCCAATCGAAACGTTTGTTATTCACAATTTTAAGTATGATTCATATATTTTAAGTATAATTCGTATATTTGATTAAACATGTAATGTAAAGATTGGAATTTTATTAATTCACGATTCTTTTTACGTTGGTCTTTCATTCTTTCGTTGTTTACGTTGTTTCATATTTGATGCTATTGACAATCATCCATGATAATAAATTCGTCGTCGTTGAAATTAATAATTAATAAGAGTACAAGTTAAATACAACAATAAAATCTTGAAAATGGAAATTAAATTGAAAAGGAAAATTAAAATAAGTAGATTGAAATATTTGTAATATTTATTGGATCGTGGTTCGATGCCCTTCTATTATCGGATGGGCAACGACCTTTAATCGGCTGTTTGCATTCGACAACGCGTGTCCTAAAGAAATGTCGAGCGAAGAGAAATAAGCATTACTGTAATTGGCTAAAAAATTGCGAAACAGGCCGATGCAAAGTGAAGACATCGGTATGTTCCAAGTAACGTTTTTTTTGAATTTCTTTTGTAAAATAACATTTTCTTGCATTTTGAATGATCGCAATTAATTACGACGATTCCTAAATAAAAATTTTAAAGATTAAAGAGGTTACAATCCTAATTTATAATTTACACTTATATCATTAAATTTAAAATTTATACTTATCGAGTATATTGGTAATAGAATAGAAAAGAATCATTATTCGTTTATAAAATGAATTTCGAAATCGTGAAATTTCAATTTGGCATTTTAATATTCTTACAACGTTCTTACAGAGATTCGAACTTTATTTAAAGTCGTTTTCCTCTAAAATAATTTAATTAATAAAATTAAGTAGTAATTTTGTCACTTTTCCGGCACAGATGTACAATAAAAGAAATTGATTTTAAACGCAATTTATTTTCGTTTGGTTGCATGGAGGTTCGAAACATTTAACACTATTAAAGTTATTACATAGTTGCAATATTGTATGCATAGTTTATAAATGGAATGGGGTGAAGGTCAAACGATATGTGTGTATAACTTGTTGCATTTTTAGAATAGTATAGAAGTTTTAAGCGATAATGCTGCCGCAAGCTTGCTCTTTGAGAGATGATTACATCATGTTATAAAATGATATAATTAATAGGACAATGTTGCTTACGACAGAAAATTATAATTAAAGTTGCCAATAAAGATTTTCGCTACGAACATTGGAAATATCAATTACAATGTTATTTACGTCCAACGTACTTATTTCATCATTGATCAACAATAAACTAATTAAGGTGGTTTATTACAAATCATTTTTATATATTATTTATATATACAGAATATCTCGCAGACCTTTATTTTTTTTTTTTTTATATCTTCATCACTTATTTATAGATATTATTTAATATTTTTATAAACAAACGTAGATAATAACGAACTTGTTGCAAAATCTAAAACACATATTAAATAGATTAACATTTAATTTTTATTTAATTTTCACCTTGTTGTTGTGTTAATTTTTAAAAAGATGAAAGATTATATTTATTTTACTTATTATTTGAAAACATCTTTCTATTACAATTGTGGATAATTTTGCTATCATTTAAAAGGTTAGGAAACAGTATTATAAGTGAAAATACGAGGCAGTGGTTCCTTTTCCTCATTACATCATCACAGTTGCATGACAGGTCAAAGGACACCGATCTATCGCATCTGGTAGAGGAGGTACGGTTAGCTCGCAACAAACTTTGCCGCGAGATTTACGACAAGCAATTGCATTCGAAAGCCAAACAGTTCCAGTTCCTCTTTGTTCGACCATATTCCATCTTTTTCTTTCACTCCACGTTCGAAAGAATTGCTTGGGCTATGACTCTTTTGATCTTAACTCCAATGCCAATCTCAGCCATTTATCCATCTTCTATAGATTCTTAGTCGTTCGATACGAAATTACGATATATCGAAAACTTTTCTCTGTTTATCCTTTCTTTTTGAACGCAACCAATCTCCTATATATAAATAACTACTACTCTTCTTCGTGTATTAAACGAAACTTTGAAATTATTGAATCATTAATTAACAAGGGAACATCGATGATACACGCCGATTTTAATGAAATTTTCCATAATTTTTCATCGACTTGATTTTATTAATTCGTAACTTTTTTTCATTAGATAATTAAGAAAATTTTGTCATTTTCTTTCTGTAAAAGAACATAGAAAATAAATTTTATATTCGCTAAAGTAATTATTCTTATTTCGTTTAATAGAAAAAAAATATAATAATATCGATTTTACATTTAAAAGTTACGATTTCGAGATATTTTCTCTTCTTCAATATTCTCTTTTTTAATTTTGGAGATGATTGTTTATCGTCTAGGTTTAACAAGGATATAACCTATAATATAACCTATAATAAATAAAAAGAAAAATTTCAGAACTTCAAAAAAATGAAAGTAAAAATTTTTGCGATGATTTTTTTAAATATATTTCATAAATTTATAATGTAATTGAAGTATAGTAAATAGAAATAAATATTATATTCCTAAATCGTAACGTAATGGAAAATATCGAATAGGCTTAAATAAAAATTATCGATATTTAATAATAATTAGTAGTTAATTAACAATCTAATAAATAAAAAAGCGACACGCGTACTACTAATCGTTGAATTAAAAAAAAACAAAAAATAATTGTGTGCGCTTCTTTCTCGATAAAAGGCTATTTGATGTTAAATCGATAACCCAATGAAACGATGAAGCAAGAGTAGTCTTCCTCATCGTTATCTATATTTTTGCATTCTTTTTTTTTTTTTGTTCATATAAATGATAACATGACATTCATGTTATCATTTATACATCCTTTTAAAGTCGCATACTCTGATCCCCTTTATTATCGTTTAACGATACAATTGTCGAAAATGTATCGATAAGAGATCGTTTTAGAAATATGACAGGAATATTCGATCGTTAATTCAATTTTAACGAATTCCTTTGTTCGATAGAAAGATTAATATGAAAAAATTATAACGATATTATATTACTGTATACTCTTATATTTATACTCATATTTATGCCCTTATGTAATATTTTCTTTTCGCTATAACTTTGTTATAATGATACAAACTTTGATACGAGATATAATATTACTCAATGAAGTTCGTCAATTATTATTTCTACAAATTTCCATTTTTTTATTTCTCCAAATTTTTATTTCTCCACTTGAGAATCAATCTGATTCCTTCTTAGCGAAAAATACATTACAATACAATTCTCTATTCTCCTAAATTTTCAATTCCCATTATTTTTCAACTCAATAATAATATCAAAAACATCAAATATCTTCATATCTGCATGTATATATACTATAATTATAGAATATAAAAGTAACTTGGACAGTCAGAAAATAGTAATCTTTACAGATGCAAATTAAAAGTCATCAACCGCGACTCTAAGGAGGTTAAGTTTATGGAACGCGTTTCAGGCTAAGATTACGAGAGAGAAGTAAAGGTGGCTGCTCACGGGAAGAAAAAGGAGAAACGAGGGAGAGTGCTGAGCCAGCATAGCCGGCTTGCCAGCCTGCACATCGATACCAACCAGTCAGCCAGCGAGCCAACCTACCAATGAACCCACCTACAGTCGATAGGAAGGTTTTTCTTACGAGAAAAATTATGTATGTGTAATAATTTGAGAAATTGAAATTTTTCAATTGAAATCGTTATCGATAACTCGACTATTAATTGATCATTCTGTTTTCATGCGTCTAATGTTACCGAAAGTTTATCTTAAGGCTAATTATAATAAATCAATAACAATAAAAATAATACTATTTCGTTTCGTTATTGATCCTAAATTATAAAAATTGATTCCTGATGAAACAGAATTTTTTGATTCTGAATATTATTTTATTTTTGTTTGTTAAATATAACTTAATAATTTAATAAATAATTCTGAAATTTAGTAAATAATCTAATAAGTAATCTAGTAATTTTGTAATTTAGTAAATAATCTAGTAACAGTTTAATAATTTTGTGAAAGATTCATTCGTATCAAAAAATTGACTTTTAATATCACGTAAGAAACATATTTATATTAAAAATTTAATATCGGTACTGATTATTTTATTACATGTTTTTTTGAAATTATATATAACTATTAATTATACAGAAATTATTATTATATACATACATATGAAACTGATGCGTAAAACTAAAATGTAATGAACGAAATATTGCAAATATTTTGTTATTAATTTATTTTAAAAGAATATTGATGTGTTTTTTAAAATTTTAAAACACATTTGAAATTTTAAAAAACATTTGAATTACTATCAAAGTGATAGATAAAAAAATACTATAGTGCTGATAGTGATTTTCAGTATGACTGATATTACAGTGAAAATAGCACGTCTTAATCAGACATCGAGGACCATTCTAAAATTCTAAATATATTTATGCGATCTAAGTCATTTAACATGTATTTATTTAAGATATATCTAAAAATAATCAGTATCATTATTTTGCAAATATAAAAATTTTAGATTTAAATTCTTCATGCTAGATTATTATAATATCAAAAAAACGAGAACTGATAAAAATCTACATAACCTAAAATGTTACATTAATATCGATAATAGATATTATCGATAATATTATAATACAGAAATATTCCAAAATTAAAATCTAAAATTTATTTTTTTATAATAATTTCGTTATAACTTTTTTATTATTTTATCCCCAACAAAATAGATTTCCAAAAGCGGAAAAACGTATAAAATTTCAATCATGTTTATATTAATTATAAAACAATCAGTGCATTAATCGAACTTTTAATTATCCGTCGGTTTCAATCATCGCAATCAATCATTCAGTGAAATTCCAATGATCGAATAGAAACGAAGCGATTCGTAACCACGCATTGAAACTATAACCTTTTTATAGAGAAAACCTAATTCATTCACGCTAATATCAATTTCTAGAATATCCAGGAATTCATTCGTGAAATATTTCAAATATCACAAGGAAACAAATTAATTATGATGGTCGATTGTCGTATTAGAATAAATCCTGATTCATTCATAAGAAGAAAAAATGGGATGGAAAAGGAAAAGCATAAATGTGAAAAAAAATTGATGGAGAAAAGAAATGAAAAAAGGATATGAAAGAAAAAAACAAGAAAAAAAAACACAAAGAAAAAAAGGAAATAATAAAAACATAGAAAGAAAAGAAGAATTTGGAAAGAGCGAAAGAAGAAGAAAGGCAACGACAATAGAAAAGAGAGAAGAAATTGGCAAGAATGAGAAAGGGAGAAAGGAAATTTGACGGTGGCGAGAGGGGAAAAGGGAAAAAGACGAAGAGCGTTCGCCGGATAATCCTTGGAGTCATTTGTCTGCCGACTGTTGAGACGCTCATTTGTTCGCGGCGCGATGACAGATGACAATGAAGTAGAGATCGTGCCACGGTCATGGAGCGTGGGTTGATAAAGGTGGAGGAAAGGGGGAAAAAAGCAGCAGCATACCCCGCCTCTAGCAGTTAGGATGCAGATCTGTTTGCCGTTCGTGCCTCAATTATTCTCGGATCATCGTTGTGTATCGGTCTGCAGAACAATCGAATCGTATTTGTGTCGCCGTGATTAAAAACATAATGTTCTGTTTCGCAAGCGATAAGTCGTTCTCTGAAAAGAGAGAAAGAAAAGGAAGCATCACATTGAACGTATTCATGTAAAATTTTTACATACAATTCTTATTATAATATTTTATTATTTAATCAAACGTTACATTAAAAAATTTGCAATGCAATTATTTTAATGTTTTAGGCTTTTATTTTTTTTATTAAATATATACCTAGTTTGTCGAAAGAAGAAAATAAAGTAAAATATCGAAAAAAGCATCTGGCCAATCGAAAACGAAGAAACGGAGAGTCGTGAAAAATGAAACTAAGCGCTGGTATATTTAGCAACTTCCGGACTAAATCGGAAGTTCCGTCATATTTGTCACCACGCCGGTTATTAATGGCAGGTTTTTATTGTTTTAGCAAAGCTGAAGGGGAAATAGACGAAGAAAAGAGAAGAAGAAACTATCGTTCTCTTCCTGGCTATTAAATTTAATAGCCAATATCTCCCCTATTGCTAGCACTTTTTATGCCTTTTATCTCCTTGCGATTCTTTCAAGATAAGTAAACATTGATTTTCTTTAATAAATCAATCTTTCTTAGATTGTTGATCCATATTTTTTACAACTTCTTTTTTAATAACACTTATTATTTTTTATTTATCTATTTTCTAATATTTAATTAACTATGAGAAAAAAAAAATTAATCGTATGATAATATCTATCAAACATATATAACATATATAACAAGTTTTACTATATATAATATAAAAATAGTGTAGGATTAAAATTCTTTTTTAATATTATAGTTTAAATTTTGCGTAACAAATAATAAACAAATAATTTATTTTTATTCGATATTTCTAATATTAAAAAAAAATTAAATATGTAAATACATGTGTCAATATTCCTTGTTGAATACAAAAAAAATAAATAAATAAAAAATATATATAAAGAAATTAATGAAATATAACATTATTATATTATTAATGAAATAAATTCAACCATTTTTTACAATCCATTATATTTTACAATCCACGATTGCATCATGGATTCAATTAAATAATGTCTCTATAAATGTCTCGTACATACGTGAGATATCGCAATATGTTGAATAAAGATAGATTGTAACGACATCTTACACGAGACATCAATCTTTATAAGATAGAAATCATAAAGAAGCAACATTCGCATAATTCAATTCACGTTTCTCGAAACTACTTAATTCTTGGTAAAGTCTTATTAATAAACGGATTCACAATATAATTCTGTCTTTGTAGTCAGTGATCGCATTGCATTGCACGATCTGCGAAATCTTCATCGCCTTGACTTCAAAATAGTGACCTTCGTACTTCATTTATTTAATTTCTTTCTCTCGTGAAATAATATCGTGATAATACTTATTTTCTGAAATAATTGAAGAACCTAACAATAAAAATAATATTAAAGTAATTAAGTAATAAATAATAAGTAATTAAATAATAATTAAGTACTTTTTAAGTTGTGCAGATATATTTATTGAATGATGAACATAGATTATAGTACAAGAAAGACATATATGCGATTGCTGCGCATAAGTCAACTGCGCAATTAGTTAAATTAAAATTATCCCAATAGAGAATTAATAAATTTTTCAAATTCCTTATTTTATCTTTCTAACAAATAAAAAAAAATTTAATGATAATTCAGAAAAGATAGTTTATTGAATTCAATGACCTTGAAATATGTTGTCGAAAACAAGATTCTGAATATCTTTTTTTCATTCCTCTATTCAGCTTTAGTTTCCGAAATATCAGCAAAAATATCTTTATAATATAATGTACTTTCAGTTTTAGATATAATATTTGAAATAAATTTTTGAAGCCTAACGAAAATAAATATAATATATTTATTTTATAATAATTTTTTATTATGGTAAATAAAAATTTTAATTTTATAATAAATATTTTATATTATTTTATACGTTATATTCATATATTTAAAATTATGCGTCGTAGATTTTGACACGAAACACGATCAAACGAAAGCATCACGTAACGCGAAGCCGCGGCATAATCCGCGAGGTGGTTTCGCGAGGAGAAGGAAGGCAAAAGAAACCGGGTATCGGGTCGCATCTGGCATCTGCAATCAACACTCGCATGGTTCCAGTGACGTCACGTCCGGTCATCTGCCGAATAAGCAGAAACCGCGTAACCAGACTCTATCTACGGGAAATGATTTCGAAAAAGGAGCGGTCAACGGAGAGCACGTGTCGTGCAAAACGAATACGGAGATTTGGTTAAATTTTGTAATCTAATTAAAATTAGTAATCTACTTTATATCTATTTTAATGGATATATATTCATATATATTCTACATACAGAAATTAATATTAATTAATATTAATAATTATCATAATTTTATATAAAAATATTTTGTTTTTTTTATCTATTAGTTTTATCTATAATATAGTAATTGATTGTGAATCTAATTCATTTTAATATTTTTTTAAACTCCTAAATACATAGACAAAAAAGATCAGAATAATAAATAGAATGTCCTATAACCTATCTTTTTAACCTATCTTTACAACATTTTATAAATGTTCAAGACTCAAAATTAAATCACATGCACAAAGAAAGTAGTGCAGCTAACGATCAGAGAGCGGCGCAATAAAATTGGTGAATCAAGGCAGGCCAAAGGGTTGAGAACAAACATCGTTAATTTGTACGCAGAATACCGCTGGCTGAAGCCAGAAGGTCAACATTAATCGCATATATATATATGCTCGTCAAACACTTTGCACTGGACCGTATAATTTGGATTCGTAGTACACTAAAGTTTCGGTTACTCGTGCTACTCTGCACCCTTTCAGCCGACCTAATTGTCTAATTGGCAAATAAATCCCATTGTTTTCCAATAGTCAAATCGGTATGTATACCGCGGGAAAAATTTTTATCTATAACTAATAGAAATTAACCGTTTATGTAATTAAACAATTTTTTGCAAATTATTAAACATCGATGTTTGATATGGGAAATGTTAACTGTTTTTATGCATTAATCTTTGTATTGTATTATGATTTTCCTTTTATGTAATTCTTGTAATTCTTGCACAAATATATGTAGATTGTAAAAAGTCGATGAATTATAAAAATTTAAAAACTTTCAAAAAATTAAAATTTGATCTATTAAATTTGATAAAGATTATAAAATATATATAAAATATATATATAAAAATATTAGAATTAAACATTACAATTTAAAGTTAGATTTAAAATAACAATTACGTTGCTACAGACTGCTCGTACAATATAAATTATATATATGTATATATATAATTATATTATATATAATTATAAAGATATTTTTTATAATAAAAAAAATAAAATATTAAATAAAATATTTAATTTGAATTATAATTATATTATATAATTATATTATATTAATTTGAAAGAAAGAAAACTAAATTATATTTACAATATACCAATCATGATCTTTACAAATTAAGTTTATTTATTAATAATTTATATAAATTAAATTAATATTTCTTATCAAAAGTTAAAACATGCATTTTATTAATATAATTGTATAAGAATCGATATATCGTTAATTTAAAATAAAATTATAATAAAAATATTTAATAATATATGCATGTAACATTTAAAAATCAGAATACTTTATAAATATATAAATAATGATTTTAATATTAATTGTATTATATCTAATATAATAATAATAATAATAATAATAATAATAATAATAATAATAATAATAATAATAATTGTATTATACTTGTTACATTGAATCAATTATTTGTTTTTGTGTTCAAATTTCGTAAATATTATGTAGTTTAATAAAGATTTTGTGGTTAGAATCACGTGCAAGAGAATGAAACAGTAGGATGACGAATTGAAAGGAGACAGAAATCAATCATTATCAGACAATAGTTTGTTAGTGGGATTCACTTGATGTATTGTTCTCTGGAAATGTGGATTCAGCTTCAGTCCGCAATCGTTCTTTCTTCACGTTTAAACCTTTCGATATATATAATTCCCTTACATGCATACTAATTAAATTGACTCACTTAAATTCAGTTTCTACTTAAGACTTAACTATTAAATTACATTTCCCTTTAACTAATTGACAATAAAGATATTTTGGTAATCTAAATTAACTTAATAATTCAACAATGTAATTAATATAATTTTATATATTCATTTCATTAATCTCTTTTATATTTTAAAAGATAATTTATGTATTTATATAAATATTTATATTTTTATATATTTTCATCTTTTTTATTTGAAAATAAATGATTAAAAATTTATATTTCTAGAATTATATATAAATTAATTAAAATTATTTATCATGATTTGTAATTAATTATAAATAAAATAAAAAAAATATCATTTAATATATTAAGATTAAAAAAATAGTTATTAATCTAGCTATACACAATGTTTACAAATTTTCTTTACACACATAATGTGTTCTGATATTTACATATTAAATTGTGCTCTTTATATATTATATATAGATATTTTTATACATATATTTTTATCATCGAATATATTATATTATTACAATATATTAAACTATTGAGATGATAAATATATTCAATTAATTTCATATCAATTTAAAGTTATTAATAAAACAAAATACAATTTATCACATTGTAATTAACAAGTTATATTTCCAAGGCCTCAACAATGTGATTATTAGTAAAGAAAACTTCAAATCATAATTCCATAATATTGTATATTAATAATCAATAATTAGCCATTTGTCTGTAATCTTTTCTATTTGTTTTGTAAGAATCGGATTTCTCAATCGTATTTTTAACTCAAGTTTTCCACCTGTTGGTTTTCTTCCGTCCATTAACTACAATAATAAAAAATCTTTTTTAATATAAACGTATATAAAAATAATATTTAATAAATAATCTTTATTATTTACCGGAAACGAATCGTGAAGTACACATTGAGTTTCCAAGGGTTGTAATTTCACTGTCACTATACCTAAAAGACTATCACTTCTAAAAAATCCTCTGCAAGACAAGGAATTTATATTACACATAATAAAAAAAAAGCAGACATTAATTATTTGTAATTAAACATTACAATTTAAAGTTAGAATTAAAATAACAATTACGTTGCTACAGACTGCTCGTGCAATATAAATTTTATATATATATATATATATTTTTTATAAATCATATATATCAATTTAATCAATATTAATTGTTTCTTTCTATAATCAATTTTTATTCATTTCTTCAAATAGTCAGTTGCAATAAATTTATAATAAATGCTATTTTCGAAAACAATATATCCGCAAAAATACAAAAACAAAAAAAAAAATAATAACATATTACAAATAGTTTTTAATTCAAGAATTGAGTAACAAAAATATAAAATTTTCATACCTTGGATTAATACAACACAGGATGGGATTCAGCGAGCATCTGCAAGCAACGTACTAATCTATTTATTATTTTTAATATAATAATTATATATCTGATACTATATACAACAAATGATAAATAGTAATGTATACAATTTATTTAATTCTAAAAAACTAAATTAAGTGAAGAATAAATTTATAAATCAATATACTTAAAAATATATACAAAAAGATTATTTAAATATCAATAATTTGATTGTATCATTATTTCATTACCCTTT